GGTATATATTTTTCTGTACACTGCTCAATGTCTGCCTCTACCTTGTTGAAGGATATTGAAAAATACCTCAAAGCTTTCACTCAACTCTCGAATGATCATATTATGCAAAATATGAGATGAGGCCGCCACGTTGCACCAATGCGTGTTGGCAGACTTGACACAATTATATTATATTATATTCAGTTTACTTCAAGACTGAGTACGTTTAACCACGTGTCAGAAAACCCCCTAAGAAATCGAGAATCGATCTATCACTGCTATACATATTATATTGGATCGATAATTTTCACGTAACTACATAGATTGGTCTCGTCAAATTAATACATTTATTGAATTTATCGCGTTTAATTTTACATGTTTAATCCCCAACATTTTAAAGTTAAAAAAAAAAAAAACTGATATAAATCGTAAAATTTGTTTTATTCAATGCGTAGTATTCGCGTAAGTATACGAAATCATTTATATGGTTTTTTAATATACATTTAACCAATTAAATTGTACAAAATAAAATATAGCAAAGCAACAATAAGTCACTGTATGTAAGTACCAGACGTTACTTGTACTAGGTCAGTCACCTGTGATTTCATATCATCTCGATATAATATAGACATGTAACATAGCAACAAACACAACAGACCGGTGTCGGGGAGCAGCATCACTAATGCGAAATGTCTGGCTTTAGTAACGTTGCGCGGTAATGAGAGCAACACGCATAACCCGCCGTATTGAATAGAATAGGCTTTAAATATAATAAAATGTTTCTGGATATTTAGAGTTTTAGAGTCTTTAATATTGTTTTTCATAAGTATAGCTATTACAATCAAATATTTATATTTTTTTAGATCACTCCCACTGTATCTCTAAGAGAAAAATGTAGAATGACTAGAACAACCTTCAGGTAATGGCGAAACTTACTGATTGATCACATAATTACGATAAATGAATCTGAATAACGTACATTGTAATGAAGCATAATAATTTACTACAATACTATCGGCATTTCGATTTACAAACTCTATGTATTCTGCAGTAAGACATAAATAAAACACAATATCCCTTACATACACTAAAAAAAAAATGCGCTTGAAGCGGTCAATTTAAACGCGGTAAGTTTTAGCGACATATTACGCACAAGCTCAACGAACCTCATACGACTGCGGGAGCAAAATGATCACAAGTGTCGCGAAGATAATAAAGCTAGGTATAATCAACCGGTAGAGTTTAGCGCAAGTATCGTCGAAACTTGACATTGAGGCGCGACCGAAATCACATAACGAGATAACGACATCATATACATTCCACGGATCGTCCAGCTGGCGAAATTGTCGCGACTAGCCCTCGGAGGTATAATAATGGATACACATCTTTGTTTATACTTATTTTTAGCCACATATATAACCATGAACCTCTCCCGTTGTAGCAAGAATTTGCCTTAATTGCAAAGCTTGGTGGAAGGATGGGGATCGCAGTATTAGATGCGCCTTTGACACGGTTTCCTATCTCTGTCTTTGGTGTTTACACATTCTTATTCTCCGTAGTCGCATTTTACGACACTTAAGGGATAAAATGAGGTGATAGATTCTCTTACGCCAGCGCCGTGGCAACTAGACAAATCGTGTGGCCTACTGGTGTATTTTACTAATAAGCTGGGTAAATACTATCTATATAATTAAAAAAGTAAGTGTTCGTTCGTTCAAAATCTTAAACCTCCGAATGTTCCTCACCGATTGCTTTCAAATTTTAACACAACGTTGTATTCGAACGCACGCGTGTTTTCATATACCTACTTTTAGAAAAACTTTTTGTGCCACAACGCGTGGCTCGGTACAGATAGTTATAAAAGAAAATAGTACCAGCGGCAAATATTTTTCCCTTGTTAGAAATGCAAAAGCTCTTTCTATGTATTGGGATATCGGTAAATGCTTTTTTATGTTTTATAGGATAAGGGTAATAAACAAACACACAGTCCACCTGATGGTAAGTGAATAACCCCTCGTGGCCCATAGACATCTACATTTAAATTAAGAATCAAAATGCAAATGCTTTTTCATTGTCACCATCTGAGCACTAAGATGGAATGCCCCGTTTCCAATATAAAGGGTCATCGGTTCTCTACACTCACCTTATGAGCAACTGCTATTTTACACTGGTATTCTGTGAGAATGGGGTCTTAATCCGGTAGAACCAACCCATTCATGCCACAACCATAATATAGCTGCAGCTTGGCTCTACCACGTATTAAAAAATATATATATATCGCTCGTCTGAAATTTAATCCAAATCGCTAAGCCGATCGGATTTATTCAGCAAATTGCTGCTAGTAGAGCTATGCCGTAGCTACATTATGGCTGTAATAGGAATGGGTCGCCTCCACAGATATAGTTTAAGTATATATATGTGGTTGCTGACCTGGAAAGGGCCTTGCTCTCACCAGCGTGAAATAGCGGCGTTATGCTTAATGTATTTCGTTCGGTAAGGTAGAGAAGCGGAGACCTTATTTACTGGAGAAGATCATTTTGGCCCTCAGGGATGAAAATGCATTCTGCACTTTAATTCTGAATGGATGATATTGGCGCCGGCTTGTATTCATGATTTGCCCGTAATATGTACATGGATCCTTAAGCGTATAGTATATTATATATAGTATAGTAATTATAGGACTTATATGATAGGATATCATATAAGTACTATAATTTGATAAATCAGAAAACAGCTTAGTGTTTATTTCCTAATAATATCTCGATATAATTTAACACCAAAATTTCACAATCCCTATAAAGTAAGACAAATTGATTGTCGGACCCAATTTATTTCAAACAACATATTTGAGTATACCATTGCAGCTTATATGCACGTGCACAAATTCCATTTCAGCTGTTTTTATATTCATGAATGTTTAAATAAATGTTGCTTTTTATTGGTGTATGTAATATATCGGCGGCCGCAATTAAATTGATGATATCACACTACTGCCGATGTGAGCCGCGACAGGGAATAAAAGCGCGATCCAATCAACGGAACCGTGTCGCGTCGCGTCGGAGGCAGCCGGCTGTGAAAACTCATAGTGCCGACGCTCAAGCAAACCGGTACTTACACTATATCACACCGCATCACCTTGAAAACGTAGTAAAAACGAGTGCAAAGTGAAACTATATTATTACACGACTAGCTAAATTAAAACGGGCGTATTGCCTCTTTGGATTAAATAATTAAAGGCTAAGTTGTGGAGAAAATAGGTAAATGGTACTTATCGAGGGCAAAGGAAGAATTTCCGAAAGAGTGTGTTAGGATAAGACAGATAAAGGATTCACATTAATATCCGATTAGACTAAATACAATCGTGTTTTTTTTAATTATTTCTTTTCAAAATCTCAGACCAACAAAGATAGACGAAGCGCTGTTTACATTCCAAGTGACACCGAAACTACGCATAGGTATGCATCTATAACAATTTGCAACCAACAAAATGGTTTTAGGAGGTGCATGTGATGTGTAATTCCAGCAGTGGAATTTTACAGGCTATTAATGAACGAAAGAAGAAAGATGTGTGCGTGAGTGCGGGTGAAGAAGTTGAGAATGGTTTCGGTGTCACTAGAAATCGCTACGTCCGTAACAAAAAAAATAACGATTCAAATATCATTTCTGTATTTCATATGATAAGTATAACAAGAACAATTAAAATGTTTTATTTATCCTAACCAAGTGGTAAAACGTGACTGAAATTCTTAAAAAGACCTATGGCTATTTGCTTCACACTGTATTATTTTATTAACCGCAAAAAAAAAACCGGCCAAGTGCGAGTCGAACTCGCGCACTGAGGGTTCCGAACAAATCCGTAGATATATAAGTTTAAAATTATTAAAAATATTTTTATTATATGATGTAATTAAAAATTTATGCTTTTCGCAATTTTTCCTTCATCTATGCTATAAAACGTTGCTTCGTACCAAATTTCAAGATTCTGAGTTCACGGGAAGTACCCTGTAGGTTTTGATTCCCTTGCAAATATCGAAAGTTTGCGGCATAAACGGCTCTTGATTGCGTTGGCTTAGAAGTTTGATTTTTTCACAGCTCTAATGGACAGTAGACTTGAGTATTTGATATGAATTTCAGCTTGATACCTCTATGCGTTCCTGAGAAAAAGGGTCTTGACAGACAGACAGACGGACAACAAAGTGATCCTATAAGGGTTCCGTTTTTTCCTTTTGAGGTACGGAACCCTAAAAAACTGATAGGAATAAGAATCTTGCGTACTTGACCGCATTTTTAATACTTACAATTCATAAATGTTGCTGAAATATATCGAAAATGTACGCCTCTATCAGATAACACCCGTCAGTCCTAATATTATTTAAGGTATGTGTATAACTTAGTAGGTGTTTATAAAACTTGATCTCCAATGAAATTATTTGCGTAACTTCAAATACCAAGCTTTATTATATAAAAAAATGGGCTAAACAGTCGCAATGACCAACTAGTTGGCCAATAAAATCGAGTCTTGTTTTTAAACTTTTATTGAAGCCCTCCCGGGCCATGCGATCTTTACCAACACTTTTCTCGAGAGCTATTACGAACCTTCCGACCCTCGAAAGTCGAGAAGTTTGGCTAGTGTAAGCTATACAGACGCTTCAGGTGCCGCCTAAAACGTACTAAATATTACAAGTTATTGATAATTGTCCTCGTTATTTTGAAGGAGAGAAATTTTGATATATTTGTGTAATGTCACTTATACTGCCTATGAATATACTAAGTACTTTACTTTCATAATTTTGAGATGTTGCATTTGTATATCGATTTCATTTGATAAAGAATGGTATGAGTACACTATAGAAAAGTCCAACTATTCTAAACATCGCCGAAGAAATAAAAGAAATGGCGGAAATAATTTCGCGACCTTAACTTTAAACATAAAATTCCCTAACCCCCAATGTTAGACATAAATTCAATAATAAAATATAAAAATAAAAATTCAAAAAGTTGTAAATTATACTGGTACTCACCTAACGCTGGGTCGAGGACTGCCTGTGCTGCCTGTTCCTCGCCTATAGGCGTCTTAAGGCAAATTTTCTTTAGTTTCATCGCGACCGGCGAGTCTTCCGACTGTGCCACTGCAACATGACACTGGTGTTAATACGTTAAAAATCTAAGCACCTGTGAATTGGCTAAAATTACAGTACAAAGATAATTTATTGTATTAAAAAGAATGCTTTAAATTCTTTGTTTGTCTTATACACTAAATTATCTTCAGTGAAGAGCATTGAAGAACCATGATTTATACTACCTACTAAACTATTATGAAACGTTCGTGTTGTCAATATATGTTGCTTGCTGAAGATATTATTTAGAAGCTTTAGCTATTATAGCTGTATCATGAAAAATTTTTGACCGTGTTTGGACTACTGTATACAGCGACCGCCTCTTAGATTAATGATTAGACATCGCGCGCTCTGACTAGATACCGCCGGCGCTCATGTAAAGGCTCCGGTACACATTGGTCGAGCGCGCTTGGCGAGCCCGCTCGGCAGATTATTGTGGTGCCGTTCAAACGTTGGTGTGCTTCATTCTGCGTTGGTAGCTAGATGATGATGGACGTTAGTGATCGCGGCCTTATTTTTATGTTGCTCATGTTTGGGGTTCCATATAACTGATTAATTGTGATAAGAATCAATGAACCTAAATATTTCCTCATTAGGCCATGTCGCCATTTTCGTGAAATAATTTTATAAGGCCGTAAAGCGTAACTATAAACTGAAAACTCGACCAACGTGTGATCGCTATTTGCGACTTGCGCCAAATTTCTTTGATTTGTGCACGGAAAACCGACACTATACGGCTTGTCGGCGAGTGTTGGCCGCAAACGCCAAAAACACACAAAACGGCCCAGTACACGTTGGCCGAACGCACTCAGCGAGCGCGTTCGGCCAACGTGTAGCAGTACAATACAGTAACTTAAAATGCGGCAACAAATACTACGCCGAAATCGGCGTACCCGAGCCAATCGCGTTGCAGGCAACGTGTGAGGTGAATGTACCGAATGTTTTATTAAATTTTGATCATAATCCGAAGTAAAATAACAGTTTACGTATTGAAACTGTGTAAAACTAATACTACAAGAAGTAAGAACTGGACACACAAAGACACTGGAATCACATACTATTATTAAGTATCATACAATTTCGAAATATTAACATAAAATAACACGAACCATAAATAAGTCACAAAATATCAATGACGCTATTCAGTGTTGCCGCGTATGCAAAAATAAAGTTCTCCGTGGCTGAGATTTTTATATGTGAATTTATTGTTACTATATTTTATAATATAGTATATTTAACTTATTATAAAATAATCTAATTCTATATTATTTAATGTTTATTTCTGTTGTATTGCTCAAATGACATAATTACCGTTTATTAGGGTTCCGTACCCAAAGAGTATCAACGGGACCCAAATCTCCACTATCGTTCCGTCTGTCTGTCAGTAGGCTGTATCTTATGAACCGTAATAATATGTAGAATTTTGACAGAATGTGTATTTATATTGCTGCTATAACAACATAAAATAAAATATTAAAGGACCCAAGAAAATCACAGTTTCTTGTATGAAGACCATACAAGAAACGTGATTTTTTTGTATTGATATGTGTTTTGTTTACAGACTAAAGCGAAAACTGGATTAACACGCAATAAAATGATGCTATGTGTATGGTGGGATTAAAAGTTTATCATCAGCTTTTACCGCCGGGTAAAACCATCGATTCGGATCTCTACTACCAATAAATAATGAGACAAGCAAGAAATAGAAAAAAAAAAGGGCTGGCATTGATAATCAGAAAAGGAGTGGTCTTTGATCATAATAACGCCAGATCACAAGATAAGTTATCTGTTTGAGACTTTCAATACACACTAACATTCCTAAAAATCCAGTATTTGCTTGAGTACTTAAAACTGGTTTAAAAGTTTTAATCATTAATTTCTTTTGTTGCTTATGTTCTTTAAAAGAAAGCTTTCTGGAGGTTTTAATATTTAAGTTTATAATTTTTTTCCATTCTAAATGAGATGACTAAATACATGTTACTTTAAATCTCTTGTATTGAATATATCAAACAAAACTACTTGTCGCATTTTTTTAAACAAAATCCCAAGATTGCTACAGCAACGTTTATTTTTTATTATGTCACTACCTACAAGATGGCAACAAATTATCGAACAAAATGGACCCATTAATATTATAATTAAATGTAGTAAAACTTTAAAACAAAAACGTCTTGAATTTGTATACAATATACCAAGAAACTTTTTCCCCAGTCTTATATACTAACTAAAGGTGTAACAAAATAGTACTTAATAACTTAGGGAATGATTCTGCTCGTCAACATGAATATTTTTTATTATGGGATCATCTTCGAAATTTTCAATTTATACGTGATAGACCCATACTGCAGCTATATTACTGGTATAGTTGTAGCACGAATGGGTCAGCTCGACCGGGGAAGGACCACACTCTCACAGAATACCAGTGTAAAATAGCAGCTTAACGCTGCTGTGATTCTTATGGTGAGTGTAGAGAACCGGAAACCCTTTTTACTTACCTTAGTCCTCAGGGATTACAACGCATCTGCAATTTGATTCTTAACCGAGGATAGATGTAGATGTCTATGGGCCACAGCAACCACTTACCATCAGGTGGACTGAGTGCTCGTTTGTCACCCTGATCCTATAAAAATATCTTAAAGTCAGTTATTCCATACAAAATTTCGTTCAAACTTGCTCAAAATGTATGGAAGACCTGATTTTTCTTGCGATTTGGAAGATAGATCTATAGTAAAAGTTGTTCATATGAACTTTCTATTCTACGCGTCAATATTGAAAGAAAGCACTATTTTGATTACACCATATATATAACTATTTTTTTTTAAATAATTTGTGAATATTAGTTAGACATGTAAATAAAAAAATTAAACTGATAAAAAGGAAGCCTTATCATTTATATGTCATTTATTCAGAAGAAAAACCTATACATAATATACACAAATATATACTAAATATATAATACATTCGCTATTAATAAATTATTCATTTTTAAGTATTTCTGGTCTACATTAATAACTATGAACTTAACTACTAAGTATGGCTTAAAATAAATTTTCCCGTTAATCGGGTAATAGTTAAGCTGCTGGCATATACAATTTTTCACGCACACTAGCATCCTTGCAGTTGTCTTATACACACTACAATATTGAGATGCCGCATTCACGGAGCTGTCATTTTCAAGGTGTGCGGTATCTAGTCAGAGCGCGCGATGACCTATTATTAATCTATGGACCGCCTATACTCGCGCAACTATTTTTGTTGTTGTTTGTTATACAGATTTCGTGTACTGAAGAAATTAAGCTCCGAACTCAGAAGCTAGTAATTAATTAAATAATTTTAGTTCTTTCAGTCTGTTTTTACTTTTTTACAGTTTAATTTTTTTCCCTTTTATGTAACACTATTAGTATCACAAATATTACGACTATATGTACGACTATGTTATATCACAAATCACAATCTCAAGGTAATTAACAAGTATAAATAAAAAATAATAAATACTATAATGTATTATTTATTTATTTCTAATGACAAGAGTGTAATCCAAATAATTACATTAAAAAATTTGTGTTTTTCGACTCTTAGGGTGGAATATTTTCTTTCAATTTAAACGAGACCACTATTGAGGGTTAAACTATTAATAAAAAAGAATATTATAACTATGGCATATTGATATCTACATTTATCCTGGATTAAGAATCAAAATGCAGATGCGTTATCACCAGTGAGGACTAAGATGGAATGCCTCGTTTCCAGTAAAAAAGGTCTCCGATTCTCTATACTAACCATGCGAATCACAGCAGCATTATACTGTTTCGTATGGTGTGCCTTCCCCGGTCGAGCCGACCAATTCGTGCTATAAGCATAATATAGCTGCAGCGTGAATACCACGTTTAAACGTGTGTGCAAGTGTAAATATTTTAAAAGTATATTATCTTTTCATTAGATGATAATAATGTAAGATAATGATATATTATGAGGATCGCGGCGTAAGAGAATCCACTAACCCATATCACCCCGTTGGTATCGTAAGAGGCGACAGGGGGAAACAAACCACTCAAAAATAACTATATCTACTCAAAAATATCAAAAACCCTGCGGTTGCCAGCCATTTAGCAAATATGTTTTTTCGTTTTTCAGCAGTAGATAGGATTTAATGAATAAATGAATGAAATAATCCAAGAACCATCTTAGAAGAAATCACTATTCACCACATACCTTACGAGTGAAGTATTCTTATGTATAGTACCTAATTCTTATGGAGATTAATTGAAGAGGAGAGAAGACCTGTGCAGAGCAGTAGGACGGTTATAGAGGCTGTATCTATTTTTTCACTCAATCATTGAATTTGAATTCATTAAGTTATTAGCAAAAAGTGGACAAATACAAGAGACTTAATAAGAGTCATTAAAATCCATATTACATTATTAAATAAATGATACAACGCTCCTTCATTACTACCATTTCAGTTTATATGCGGTAGTTGCGATGTCTAAATTAAAACCGCAGAGGCACTTTATAACCTGATTTAAACTGAATATGACCACAAAATATTAATAAATTTTTGTCATACTTTAGGAAAAAGTTAAAAGATGTTTACCACATAAGACTCCATCCATCCATTACATCTTATAAAAGTCCACCGCTGAACATAGGCCCCGTAGAATACTTCGCAGGCGGAGTTTTACCATAATGGACACGCTTGGTAGGCGGGTTTACAACCGCAGTTTTTTATAATTTTAAATTGATATCGGGGAGACGCTTCTGCCCATCTCGAGGCTTGTTTCCCTGTATCACCTCTTGCGACACCCACGGGACGATATGTGGTAGTGGATATTCTTACCACCACTACATGGCCAAAAGAAAGAAGACTTAATGAAAAAAAAAAACCCTTTATTTTCAATCATCTTATAACCAGAGTACTAAATTCATACAAAAGAATGTGTTAACAACGGGTAATGGCCAATTAAAATTCAAAGAACGCTTGGATCTTAGTGGAATCAGTATGAGAATGAATA